TAAGCACAAGGCTATATGATTTAAGTGTAGAAGATAAGCCAATGGTCTGTCTTCCCAGTCCACTGACATCCCAAGAGTGTACTGTTTAATCCTGGTATAATGCCAGTTCATAAGAGATATTGAGAGTACACATTTATTCAACTTAGCAAATAGCGTCCGCAGCAGGCTTCTTTCAGATTCCTTTGCCAACATACAAATAAGCAGCACTCTTATTTGCCACTGGTGGTTTAGGTGTATTTCTGCCTGGAGAATAAGACCAAGATCCTTGGGAGTAGGAAATGTACCAACGTGTTCTATTTAATTCACATTTCATAGCTTTCTGTAGGGAGCACGTACTCTGTTTTGCTCTCAGCCACATGAAAGAAGCTCACAAATAAAGGCTCGCCTCTGTGCAGAAGGCCTGCGGTTTTCCAAGGTTGTCTCTCACTGGGAGCTGAAGTCCCTCCCACCTGTGGAGTTCCTATCTGAAAAGCCTGTTGTGGCTGCAGCTAAGCCACACCCTCCATGCCAGCCTTTATAATAACAGTGATATTTTTACCTCAAGCTGCCCAGCCCCTTTCTCTCTCTCAATAGATTCAGAACTCAGTCCCCAAGAAGCATAGATAAAAGTCCCTTTCTTTATAACAATTACATTTTGAAGGACCGCGATCATATGGAACAAGATCTCTGTCCATTATGGGTTGGCATCTCTTGTTGTGAACTACTCCTGACTAGAATCTTATTTGGGGAGTGTGGTGAAGGTTCCAGGAATACAGTCAACCTTTGCATTTCTATGATGAAATTTCCACAGCCTCCTGTGTGGTTCCAGACAGCTATATGATCCTTAAGAGACTTTTTTAACCAATTGAATAGAGAACTCCTCCTTTCAAATGACACAAAATTATGAGTAACTCATTACACATTTTTTTTGGTCATTACAGTTTTTTTTTTAAGAAGCTGTTTCAAGTGATATTTAACAGACACAATTTCCACATTTTTTGGTATTGTTAACTGCAATGTGGTATACAAGAAAGTCTTAGTAATTCTTTTTAAATGGCCAAATATTTCATTATAACCATTATTTTTAATACCCTGAAAGCACAGTTTTGTCATGTTCTGTTATCTGACGTTGTTATATTGTCTTTTTCTTTGAAATTCTCAGTATTTTCTCCATCAGTTTATAGCCGTATTTTGTATATCTGCCCTTCACTTGCCCATATTCTTAAGTATATGAGACTTTTACCAACACATTTTCACAATTTACTTTGACCTAGGTTTTTACCTTTTTTTCTTTATTGTGCAACAACCTGGCGATTCTCTTCAAGAATGTTCACTTCCAGTTATATAGTGACGGCTGAGTGGGCTTTTTCTCCAACAGAAATCTTGAGTAACTTGTATATAGTCACATGTGGGGTAAAATGCTATCTATGCAGTAATAATCACATGGAGTAGCTTGTGAATTATAGTATAGAATACTTTCTGAATTATCAAATAAAGAAATGTAATCCTCAATGTACTTTCATTATGAAATAAGTAACCCAGCTATCAAGCAGAACACTTTATTCATCAGAGCACTCCAGTACCTAGCCACTCTATGTGATTTCACCTGTCAGGATCTAAAGAGATGCCATTGATCATCAGATCATCACAAGCTAGTTCTTTTGTCAAGGTGGTTCAGCTGATACTACACCTTTTCATTTGCAGGACAACACTGACATCCAAATTAACATTTCATCTCAACAGCCTAATTTGGAGAACACAAGATTACATGTCAGTGTCAAAAGAGGAGGGGTGGTACTGCAATAAAAGAGGAGCCATAGAGATATTTTTCATGTATCAAGACATGGAAACCATCACTTAAAACAAATAAGGAAGCTAAACAGTAAAAGTCCATCTTTTTCATTCCTAATACACCTACATGACTGAAAAAGAAACAGGTAACAATGAGGGCCTTCCTTTATTTATTCTTTTTTGCAGCAGGGAATTGAATGTTCTATGGATCTCAAACATGCTACCTGTTGAAGAAGAGGTTAATTCATCCACATAGGGAAAACATATGAAGAAAAGTTGATTAAGTAAGAAGAATTGTTTGCTTTTATCACTGGAGTAAGAAATCCTAAATAGTTAAAATATAGACAAATCCCATTTTTACCCCCTAAGGTTATTGAAAAGGTAATTAAAGATGTGCTATTTGTGTAAGGTATTGCTGGCAGACTTCTTTTCTCCAAGGAGAAATTCAGAAAAGGTTAATAGACAAAGACCTTCAGCCAGTACCAGAAATAGTTATGTGTGGATAATTAATTATGCAGCAAAATTGTTTTTACAGAAATTTGTTATGCACTGATAGGTACCAGCCAAACATGTAGTATCTAAGGAAGCAATGTATGAATGATTCATCAGGTAAGTTTTGTTAAATTACTTTCTTTAGGATGGGTAGCTGCAACATTTCTTCTCATTATAAGTATATTTCATTTTAACTAGTGGATCTGTTCTTAAAAAGGTATGTGAGAAGCAAATTCTTTTCTTTCATTTTTTCAGAGCCATTTCACCTTTACTTTTAATTGACTTCAAATGGGCTGAGCCATTCTCTCAACCCCCACTGTGGTGATTGGTGATTTATAAACATGCACTTATATTAAAAGGTGATTACCTCTTTGTTTTAAAAAGGGATTTGGAGGTTTCTTAAATGGATACACCCCTCATGTACTTACATATTTTGTAAGTCAAGAGTTTTTTTAATGCACTAAGCTTTTCTTTAAATGCAGGATACACCTGTTTTGTGACTAGAATCTGGATGTGTCAGAAGCCCAACATTCTATTATCTTCAACAGATGGAATAATCAGGCACAGAGGCTTATCAAAGAGAAATTCAAAAGCCATAGATGAGTTTTAAAATAAAGAGGTATCAAATCTCTGCGTAGCTCACATTTTTCAGTTAATCAAGTTTAGCTACAGCTGACATGTAACCCAAGAACAGAGGACTGCAAGGAACTTCTCAGAGAGTAATAACTTAGAATTCAAGCTCGACCTTCTGTTTCCAGCATCTCCTGGTGGCTCCTCTCCTTCCTGCTTCTGACCCCTGAGCCAAACCCTGGCTCGTGAGTCAGAGCCTGCTCCTGCTCCCACCTGCTCTCCTCTGGAGGCCCCTTTCCTGCCACTCCTGTTCCCTGCAAAGGTCAGTTCCAAAAACTATCCTAAATTAACGGTTCATGCCCTGCAAACACCCATCAATCGAGCTCGCGATATAGGGTAAGTTGCTGGATTTGTTCACAGAAACACTTACGGCAAAGTCACATCCAGTGCTCTTCTTTATGTCATCCACTGTCAGGCCTTCCCAGAGTTCAATCAGAGTTAGCCCTTTCTTGTTGTCCACGTCAAACACAGCCTGTTGGAGTCAAGAATGTGACAATGACACTTGCTATCACAGTAATTATTTTACAGCACAAAACAGAAACAAGCTCTCAAATTTTTAAAGGAGAGAAAAGGCCCAGGACAAAAGACTTTGAACATCTGCAGTGAAACACTGTAAACCATAACTAATAAATTTTGGTGAGAGTAAATGCCTACTCCCTAATTGGCAATGAGTTTGGAGCACTACTGATGCCAGAAAATAAAGCAGTGTTGACTACTGATGGCATTTGCTACGATTTTAACCAGTTTTTTTAAAAGTACTTTACTTTTGTTAGGTCTAACACTTTGGGTCAGAATTTCAATTAGATGATTAACAATGATTTGAAGAAAGAAAAGAATGAAGAAAGGCATGGAGGGAGGAAGGAGATATTTGGAAAGTGAAAGCACAGGGATGATGGGGAAAAGCTGATCATTGCTGCTGGGTAAAGAGTTACAGGAAACAAAAGAAGGTCCTCGGAAGTGGCTACAAGTAATTATAGCGGAATAGCTGTCCTGGCCCTGAAAGATGCCCACAGGTAAATATTAAAACTCTCCCTGTAAGGCCTGTGAAAACACAAAGGTCCCAGAGGATAGCATGAGAATCTCCCTCTGGAATGTAAATCAAATGAAGATGCTCATGTTTAGGACAAGCGCAGAAGACTCTCCTCACCCCAACACCCCAGTACAACATTGTGGTCAGTAACATAGGTGATAGCTGAGCCAATTGGTATAGCTTGACCTCTACAGGTAGACTCAACCTGTTGTATCTGATTTAAAACACAGGCTGTCACACTTAGTTATATGACAGCATGAGTAGAAGAGACCCATAAAGTCACTCAAGAATTCTTCAAAACATTCTTCTGAAATGGTCACAGGGGCTCTGCTTAGAAACTTCCAGTGGCAGGAAGCTCACTTGTCCTAAGGAAGACTGTCTACAGATGGGAAGCTCTAACTGTAAGAGCCCAACCTGCTTTCCTATGATTTGAACTTGCTGGTTCTGCAAGTTGTCCTCCAGTGCCATAGGCACTGTTTCCTCTTTGGGTTTCCATGGTTGGTTTCCTCTTCCTCAGACTTAAATATTGTGCTGCCCAGATCTCTCCACTCCTGTATATTTACCTTAAATTCAACTATGATTTGCAAGCTTCGAGTCTTTATTTTCAGCTAGCTTGGAAGTCAAACCCTAAATTGTTATTTTGAAACACTCTCCTAGTTAGGAGGAAAAATGAAGACGGTAACATGTAGAGGAAAGAACCCTGGCTTTCAAACTGCACAGGAATTCCAGCTCTGCTGCACAGTGGCAGTGCAGTCTTTGCTGAACCTAGCTTCACATCTACAGATGAACATCAAAAACACTCTGCCTCCCAAGATTGTTATACAGGACAAATACAATAACAAACATATCCTGAGCACCTGGCATCAGTTGTGGGACATAGCAGGGCATCGAACGGGAACATTCTTTCTCCTTAATAGCTTAACTCATTGTCACTTGTGTGTGAATCCAAATTGAAACACCGAAATGTTTGTTAGTCTCCAGTTAATTGATATTTCTCACCAGGAACAAAACATCAAGGGAACCAGTGATACTTCCATTCTCTATTTGTGTGATGAATTCACAGACAACCTAGTTGTTTTGACTGGAAAAGATGGTTAAATTAGAAGGAAATATTTCTGCAAACTTTCTCTTTGTTTTACACATTTTTATGTTTCTAAGAAAACCTTTTCTTTTAGTAGAAATATGTGTTTTGATAAGGAAAAAAAAAAGGTCATTTAGGAATGTCTGTATGCTGCGTTAGGTCATTTAATTCCAAAATGACAATTAAAAAAAAATTTAAATGGATACTTTCCAGAAAATGTGTCTGGAGCACCATTCATATTGATTTGCTCTTCTCTGCATTACTGAACAACTGTAAACTTATCAAAATGAAACAAATCATGGAGATAAAGCCTCTGGATTGTGTTATTAAGAATAGGCAGGGAAGAAGATAGCTGTGGTATATATTCATGTGGTATCATGAATATAAGGCTTCAGTGATCAGGGAACTAAAATTATGGCAAATTGACTCATTGCTTTTAAAAAAACTTTTATTAATACCTTTATCAAACTTTAATTAGCTATCAACATCACATATTGGAAAGCCAAGTATCTATTATTTTAAAAAAAAGAAAATTTACTTTTGAAATATTTAGGAAGGTTCCCATTTAGTGATATAAAGTGTAAACAAAAACTTGATAAAAATGGAGGCTAAAAACCTAAAAGCTACAATAAATTGTTCAACTACCAAGACTAATATTTCAACTGCTTTTTTTGTTTTACACATGAATAAGTCAATTATTCTAACACTATGGATAAAGCAGTCAATCATAGCCTAGGTGCCTGTGAGAAAGGCATCTTTCATAACCTCATTCTAGTAACACAAATCTAGGAAATCAGGTCGTAACATCTCCAAAATCTCTTTCAAATGGCAAACTAATGGAATTTTCCATTAAGAGTTGAAAACAGAATTCTAGTCCCATATCTGCTATGGCAGGGCTATGCACATTCATTGTCCTCAATGGCACTGCATTCTCATTTACTTATTTGACCAACGTTTATGTATGGAGCACGGGGTAAACATGCACTGCTCCTTTCCCTGAAGTACCCAAAGTTCCATACTTAGATGCCTCCCATTCAACTCATTTTTGCTATACAATGTAATTCACTGTTAAGGTTCCAATTATCCTCATATGCGAATGACTTCCACAAGTTTGTTCCAATACTGATGTCTATTCTGAGCTCTACATCCACATCTCCAATTATGTATCACAAATATCTGACTGGATGTTCAGAATGTTAAGTTATTCAGGAATATAGACTTGAGAATGTCCAAACCAAACCTATTCTTTTCCTGCCTCCCATTGGTCTGCCCTTTGTCTTCCTACAGTCCTAAGCTTCATTGAGGATACAACAGGTCAACCATCCCCTCTAACCAGAAAACTTAGAAATCACCTCTGCCTTACCATCCATGTCCAATTCATCATTGAGTGAGGCTGAGTCCATTGCCTAAATTTCTTTCAAATCTCTCTTTCTGTCCTGTGATGTAGTACCTTGACATTTCTGGTCCAGATCACTGAAGGGAACTTCTAACTGGACTCTGTCTCATCTCTTCTCCCCAACTCTATATAAAAGCTCTCCCCCTGCTCTTTCTAAAATGAATATCTCATCAATTGTGTCTCCAGCTACTAAAAATCATTGAAAGCCTTCCGGGTACTAGAGTCTATTGTTGACCAGAAGTTTACTGATAACATAAACAATCAATTAACACGTATTTTGTATGTTACATGTATTATACACTGTATTCTTACAATAAAGTAAGCTAGAGAAAAGCAAATGTTATAGAGAAAATCATAAGGAAGAGAAAATACATTTACAGTAATTACAGAAAAACATCTGTATATAAGTGGACCCGTGTAGTTCAAACCTATGTTGTTCATGGGTCAACTGTAATGGGTTCCTTTCAACAAGTCCTGTCCATAGTTTCAGGGGGTTCCAGGGATGGTAAGACTCAGTGAATAAATGGTGGGATAAAATATTCTTCCCTTTTATCTAGTTGTCCTTCTCTACAAGTCATCTTTATGGCATTCCATATAAATAGCCCTATGGAAAGGCACTATTTACAACAGAACACTGCTTAAAATGTGGCTTCTGCAAAGTATTATGAAACTCCTGACATGTTTCAAAGGGCTGCATTAGGGTGCTTGTTACCACCTTAATGAGGATTAGAGAACCAGGTTAATGCAAAGACACTATAACTACAGCTCTTAGCAAAAGGAACAGCATCATTAATAGAAAGAAAAAAAAAACATACCCTGATACAGATAATTCTGTTTTGTGGTTTCATCAAGATACTGAATCAAGAAAATGACACCCTCCTACCTCACTTATGAGAATTATGTCATTCCAACAACCCTAGGTTCAAATCTGGGTCAGAAAAGAAACTGTCAGTGATACTCCTCTGATCTGAACAGTTTTCAGTTGTACCATTGGCCAACATTTTCTATCTACGAAGAAATAATCTAGAGAAGCATTAAAATGGCTGGTGTGTTCTGAAGTGCACTTTATAAAAGAGAGCTGGAAGCATGCAAGCACCATAAAATAGATTTCTTGGTTCACTGTGAGACCTGCATTGCAATTTGCACTCAAATGATTAAAACCCAATTATCCCTAAGTTTCCTAAAATGAAATCCAACAATTTTTATATTTGCAATTTGGGAAAGCAAAGAAAAAAGATAGAAATTATATATATATATATATATATATATATATATAATCTTAACTTTGCATGTATCATCCATCTTAATAGTCCAAGCATAAAAAGCAACAAAACTTTTCTTTGACTATATCACATTGTCAAAATTACCAAGGACAGTTGTACAATTTTGTGTGTATGCATATATTTCCAGAGTTGTCCATTAAGAATTCTACATTTTGGGTCATTAAGTTGATGAATTTTCCTATTCAGTCTACCCACGGATTAAATTAGTCCTATGACTACCAACGTAACACACTTTCAGAAGGTAAAAAAAAAAAATCTAGAGATGGTTATAAATAAAAAGGTGGTGGTATACATTAGAGGAAATAAACAGAAAAGGGCACTTTACCTTTTCAGTAATGATGCGGTTGACACATTGCTTTCCAGTTAATGGTAATGTACATTTCTCCATGATTTTATGTGCATTTCCCTGTTTCAAAAAAGGAACATCAAAAAGAGTAGTTAGGAACCAATTTTTATTTAGAATTGATATAACCATAGGACAAACAGGAACTAGCAGAGAAATTGTCTGCTAAGTATAGGCTGTTTCAAAATCTTTGCACAGTCATACTTTCACTTCCTTTCTGGAGGCAGCTTCTGTCCCTAAAATAATTTTGGGAGAATGCCAAATGAATAGCCAAAGGCATAAATGATTTAGGTGGTAAATACCCTGCCACCAATTTGACCTCTCACACCTCAGTCCTTATATCATAGAACGAGAAATTTCACTTCTAGTATCCTGCTTATTTTTATCTTCTAGGGAATGATTTCCTTGACAAACATGACCTATTATTTACAAAGGGTAGGAAGCACACATGGAACGCGAATACATAATATCCCCTTTTAAAGTTTTTATTTTATTTGTTAAAAAGTTAATATAAACACAGAAAACAGCAATTCTTACCTCCCTTCCGCACCCTTAACCTGCACTCAACAGGAATCAATTTCAATTTTTGTTTTTAGCATTTTCTTTTATACTTCTATACATTTTCGTCTTCTGTATTTAAAAACATTGTGTTGGCTACTCTTTTTTTTCTTGATTAATCAATTTTAGACATTACCTACTAACTTCTTATTGGGGGTCCTACAAACCCCCATGTCCACCATGTTCAGTTCTCCCAGTATAATTATGTCCTAACTTGTAGGTAACTCTCTAGTCAGGATTTACACCATCATGCTGATGAAATGACCATGTAAAACTATTCATTCCTGGGCCATGTAGTGTAGTTCCCCATGATTATATTCACTTTCTTATACAGCTATTTGCTTTTCTTGGAATTTGTCTGAGCCTCAGTTTGCTCATTGGTAAAATGTGTGAACTGTCCTAAATCCACATTTTTTTCCCTGAATTTCCTTTAGTCACAGTACCCTTTCTTCAAATATAAAATACAGAGGGATTAAGTATAGAAAGGAGGTTTTCAACCATTAGCCCCCTGCTCCCAACCCTTAATGGCCTCTGAGGCACATCTACGGAGGAGCGCAGTTGAAACATTAGCTCTGATGATCTGATCTTCAGATCATTTTCTTCTGATTATGATCAAGCTCCTTTCTAAGTACCAAGCACCAGGAACCCAAATTAATATTTCCCTTGAGGCTGAAGGCTAACCTACCACATTCTAGATCTTCTATTAAAAATGGCAAAATGCTGCTACTGTTTCCTTTTTGGGTCTATAGGCACCACACAAGATGCCATTATCATCTTTAGCCATCTCAATGTTTACCAACAATAATATGCACCTGCTACCTGGTTTACATCTATCTCAAAACTGCTGTCAGACCAAGTGTATGATCAGAGGCAAGGAATTTCAGATAACTGGGCTTAATTAAGGAGATGCTACTCCTTGTGATAACTGACCAACTCACCAACGCACCAGTAATTAAAAGGTTTTAGTGTACTTAACCCAGTGCGCAGCTCAGAAGGTATTCAATATTTTTTGAATGAATGAATGGAATGGAAAAGGAAAGTCTATTGGCAATGTTGGATGGATTTCAAAAAAAGACAAACTCTCTCTTACTTTAATTTAGTCAAAACTAGTGTTAAATACATATAAAGTGGACAGACATTATACCTTTAATAACAAGTTATTTGCTTCTGGGTCTTATTGTATAAGAACATTTATAGCTGTAAAAATAAAACCTTATTTTCACTTCAATTTTAATGATCTGTTTTCCTTTCCAGATTTCCAAGGAATTTTATATGTGCCATAGAAGCTTAACTAAAAGGCTGAAATTAAGGAGGAATATTCAAACTTGTACCTTTGTCAGGTCTCTTTACATTGACTGTAACTGAAACAAGGCACGTCACACCGAATTCCGGGTCTGCCCGTGAACAAAGTGAACAATCAGTGGGCCTCTGAAGGACATTTCCTTCAGGGAGCGCTTACTTTGTTCTCACTATTCCATCTAGCGTGAAAGCAGCCACGTGGATTTTAATGAACAACCAACTTCATTTTAGGAGGAATCATGAATTTCAATGGACAGAATTAACTGTGCCCTACCAACAGAGACCGTTTATAGACCATTTTCTATAACCAGTATAGTGGCAGCGGTTCAGAGTGGGCTGGAGCCAGAGGCCCTACATGTGAGGTCTGACTCTGCCCCACACTAGTATGTAAGGCTCCCGTGGGTCCCCGTCTGCCTCACCTCACAGGGTTATTGTGAGGCTTTGATGAGACAGACGCAAGCATCCAGCACCTAGCAAGTACTGGATAAACGGTAGTTAATACTGTTTCTACAACTTTCCCGCACTCTACCAGGGAATTCTTTAGGAGCTTTTAAGTTCCTATATGAACTTGGACATATAATGACACAGAAAAATGGCCTAAACACAATTTCTGAGACCCACAAAACTAATGAAACCACACACATATTTGGGGGCAAACCATATGGCTGGCCTGGAAAACTGGCACCAAATGTCTTCTTGCAGAGAGAACCATGTAGCTCGATGATCCCATTCACATTTAGCTCCAAGACATAACACAGGCCAAGAAAGAAGAGCAATGAAACCAGAAAGATTAAAGCATGTCACAATTTCAATACTCAACAACAGGTTAGCTATGAAGCCAAAATATGACTAACTCCCACTTTAACTTTCTATTCTAACCATGCAGGGCTGAGCCTTACAATGTGGTATGGCAGCTGCATAGATTAATGATTCACAAAGGAGGAACAATTGCTGAGTTTTTTGCATTTAAAAATAAATCCTAAAAAAAGACGCAGTATAGTGTGGTAGCAACAAACACCGCGTTAGAAGATCAAAGACCCAGGTTTTCATCTAAACTCTGCCATTTAATAGTCATTTGGTCCCTTAAATTCTTTGTGTTGTAGTTTTCTCTTCAACTGCCTTGACTTCCTTATTTTATCACAGTAAGAATCAAATGAAATGTTGTGACAGTTCAGTAAACTAGAAGGGGTTGAATTTACATGCAACTATCTAAAGTTAGTGGGGTATTGTTCATCCTTATCATTCGGTCTTTCTCTCTCTCTCTCTCTCTCTCTCTCTCTCTCTCTCTCTCTCTCTCTCCCCCCCCCTTTCTTACCCCACAAAAAAAATGTCAGAAGAGGCAAAGGGATGGATATGAAGTAGAGCACTAAAAATGCATTGACTAGTCCCGAGGGCTCCTAACTGCTCTGATTTGCTAACTTCATCATAACCTTAGCAATGGTTAATCTCCTTCTTCCACCTGCTTCTCCAGCTTTTCTCTTTTCCCCCTTCATCACTTACAGGCCTCATGCAAGACCTAGGAATTCATCATTTCACTTCTAAATGACGCAGGGCCTTAGAACTTTCTATTATTGCTTCATAGTGATCTCAATTTAATTCTTTAGTTATCTGTGTGAAATTCTGGGCCTAAACACTTTAATAAAAGACAACTCTGGTTGAATGATAATAAATCCCCTTGTTATCATTACAATAAGCTTCATGTTATCACAATAAACTTAATCCCAAATAACAAGCATAATGATGATTTTTGCATTTGACGTCAATATTTCATTCGTCTGAGGCAACAGAGCATTCATGTTAAGATTTTGCTTTACATAAAACCCCATTTTATGCCCATATTTTCTGTTAACTGCTTCTTAAATGTGGCTGTAATATATTTCTTCTTTCAGGCACCGTCTTTGGGAATGCTCTAAATGATCTACTCCAGGGAAGGCATATTCTAGAAGTTGGTTACTCCTTAAGGGACCAAGTCTTTAAGCCTTTGTTCCTGCAACTTGAAACACACATCACCATGTGCTCCATCATCCCACATTCAAATGGCAACATGCTGCCTATTTTGCAGGACTAGGCTCCGGTGTCATCTTCCCTGGAGAAACTATCACCAACATCTGCTAGCCAATGCCTGCATTCCAGTGTCCCAGGGACATCCCCAGTTGGGTGCCCCTCTGAGGTGCTCCTGTGTTTCCTTCAGTCACCACACAGGTTATAATTGTTGGCCTACCTTCACCAGCCCCCTCCACTAGCCTCTGAGCTCACTGAATACTAAAGTTAGCTTTGCATCTACAGCAATGAAGAGAGCACTAGACAAGCCATAGTGATCAAGAAATGTTGTCTGAATATTGTAATTCCAATCCAAGGAATTCCAGCAGAGTTAAAACTGTCAAATACCATGTGACAAAGTGTTACAGACCACTTGAGGCTGCTTTCCAGTCCTAAGATATGTATTTCTACATTCCCAGCATCGCTGAACTCACTAGGAGAAGCACAGCTAGCAAGAATGCATGAGGGGTTTACAAGACTTTGGAGGGAGAGATAAGGGATGATCAAAGGAAGAAGCAAAGATATCTCAAGGCTGCACTATGAAACATACAGATTTATAAGTAAAGAGAGAAACAGGGAATTGTGATTATTCTACCTCTCTGCCTGCTCCCTCCTATAGCTTCAAGGCTTGCACTAATCTGTGGAAAGGCTACAAAGGCTGAATTTGGCAAGAGAATTTTCAGTACTTCGTCTGGTGGCAAAAATAAATCTATTACAGCTCTATCTTTGGGCTTGCCAAAATACCATGAAAGAAGCCTGAATGCAACTGCCCCTTGAGCCAGCCTTCTTCCTACTGGTCTCAGTGCTTAAACCAAGTGAAACAGCTTCATAAACACACACACACACACACACACACACACACACACACACACATACACACACAACCACGGATACATTAATAAAATTTGGGGGAACGCTGTCTTACAAAACACATGACTGTCAAATCACTATGATGATTGATGTGGTACACAGACAAGAAAAATGGGGCTTGCTAATTGAGGAAAATCAAGGTACACAGAATAAAAGAACAAGCTGATGACGTTACTCACACTGAGTTTATCTTCATGGGATATTTTGGGCCTTTACTCAGCACCTATTCAATAGGGATTCCAGCAATCCACATAGAACTTCACTGGAAAGACTCAGCTAGCTCTGAAGTGGAGAAC